CAAAGGCAACTGATGCATGGCTCATGCTCTCATGCTCATCCTCACTCTTTGATATTGATGGGAGCCCCCATTTGCAGCCAATCCCAATATTGCTTAATACTGGGTTCTGGCATATGTGCCATCTGGCTCATGGCCATTGTCATGTTGGCATCATCATTGCCAATGAACTCCTTCAGGCATGTCAGCTCATGGTGGATCCAATGGACCAATCCTTAGGTCCCATGATAATGCATGAGGACATGCTAGTGAATTAATTAACTATTTGGTCAATAGCATGCAAATGCTGCATTATTTATGATGCCAAGCCTCCAGTGCCATGAGCATCGCTCATCATGTCTTCAAAATGCTGGCTATGTTGGCTAATGGGCTTGAAGATGTATGTCATGGTGGCAGCTTTCATGTTGCGCAGCATCTCATCCTGAAGCTCATGGAATGTTGCATCCTCATCATTGAAGCTATTGAAGATCTCACCTCAGTATTACAAAAGTGATGCAAATTCAATGCATTCTCTTTCTTGAAATGTTAATGGTCATGCTAATTGTTTCATGCCAAGTCACTGGTATCTTTGCTAAGCATCATTCTGATGAATGTGCATTGCATCTTGGTCCATGCCAGCGTGCCTTAATCACTTGCAAAACACAGGTCATAAATTCCCAAACATGATGCTACCCATGTGCAAATGTGTTCTACATGTTTACTATTTGCAGCAATGGCTCAAATCTCTGCCCATGGTGCTTTCAATGATGCACACATCCATGCATCATACTCCACGAGCAGCCATTTTCTCGCCAAACCCAATCTCTTCTCATCACTGCATGTCCTTTTCTGCCAATCCTCCAGGACCCACCCCCTGATGTCTCTGATCCTCGCATGCACATTGGCCTTGTCCCTCATTCCACTAAATTGGCCGGCCATCCTGCCAGGAAAACATGCAAAATCCATCAACATTCACATGCATGCATCAACAGCAACCCATGTCCTCCCATCCAAATGCATCAAATAGTCATTGGTGTAATACAAGGCCATGTTCAACTTCCTCAATCTCCCATGCAGCACATAGGCTGATGTGCATATGGCAATGGCCAAATCCAGTGCCAGCATGGGCCAGATCATGCCCTCAGACAATGCATTAACTCATCTCTCTCTCCAATGCATGCATGCACTGCTTGTTCACTGATGCATCCAAGTCACTTCATTGGTCATCATCACCTGCAAGCTGATAGCCCACATGACCACCACCATGGCCATCAAATGAATGGGCTCAATTCTCACCATGGCTTCAGATGCACACAATGCTACCAATGCTTGATGCCAAAAATGCTGCAAAGTGCTGCCATACTCACATTCCAAGCTTGCCCATCAGTGCCTGCACATGCAACTGCATGGTCCATTGGCCTTGCTCATGCCCCCAGCACATTTTCATTCTTTTGCTCATGATGCTCAGCTTATTAATCATCATCCATAGACGCTGCATGCCAGTATGGCTCTAATGATATGTCCAGTTCATTCATGAAGCCAATGACTTCATCCCTCCTCTCACTCACCATCAAGGGTTTGATGGCCAGGAACTCATGCCTGATCCAATCCTTCCATCCTTAGTTCACATTGGCAGAAGCATGCTTTCATGGCAAGGAACTCACATGGTTTGCTCTCATGGGCACATGATTGATTTACTAACCAATTACCAGGTAACTGTGGGGGTTCTCATCATGCATCATGCCAGTGAACTCATCAGTGCCACCTGTATATGGCCAAAATATGCCATCTGCCATGCTGTTTTCAGGTTTGCCAGCATCTCCATACAGAGCTCAGCATTGCTGGCAGAGGCATCATTGTATTGATCCTTCATGTCACCTTGTCAGCATGGCATGGTGTTTCAACTGCCTCACAAATGGGCTCATGGAATCATGCATGCATGGTTGCCAGGGCACTGAAATCCTCAGCCAGCACCATCCTGATATAAATGCATCCAATCCTCACCCACACAATGGAGCCTCAGTTGCCATGCAGTGATGCAACTCATCCCCCCTTCCCCACCCCCTTCCCATGCTCATGTGCAGCCACACTACATATCTCATACCAATAATCCTCAATGCCAGTTCCAAGAATCCCATCCCTCTCCTCCAACATCCAGCATGCCATCTGGGTGGCCCTTTTCCTGATGGTTGTAGTCCTCTTGGCCCAATCTCAGCTGTTGTCATGCACTCATGCCCCACCCCCCCAGGCACCACAGGCATCCCCCCCATGCACAAATCCAAGCCACTCTCCAATATCCACCCTCTCATTCTGATGATTCTCCTGCTGATAGACCAGCATCTAAATCCAATGCCACCATGGGCCTGATCAGTCCTGCAATGCACCCATGCACCCAATGCACCCCCATGCTTCAGTGTCCTCCTTCTCAGGGCTGATAGGATTGCATTGTTTTCATGCATAGCCACCTGGAATTCTTGCATCATCATCAATCCCAAATATACCAAATAGCAGCAGACAGGCATAGTGGCCATCAGGGCATACAGGATGGCATGGTGGATCATCTCCTGAAGCTCATGTGGACTACTCTTCATGGTGGTTTCATTGGAATGCAACACTCTCACATGTATTTCCTCTTCTCTTCAGTCATGGCACTGGTTGCATACTCATCATGACAGCCAGAACCATCACAGCAATTGCACCCAATCCCATCAGCATGGTACTACTCATGGCTGGATTCTTGATATGCCAGTGCCAACAGCTGCATGGTAATTCATCGAAATTCATGGAACCTCATGGAAACCCACTGTAAACTCATGGAAACTCATGGGGGCTAATGGAAATTTCATGAAAATCTACCTCCCACAGTCTCATGGAAAGCAATATGGGAGCCTCAGAAGCCTCACCACTGCCACATGCACTGATGCACTGCCCATCACTTTCTCCTATAGCATCATGTTAAAACATGTCTGTCTCAATGAAGACAGTCTCATTGTGGCCAATCATCATCTCACTGCCCTCATCTGCAAAAGCAATGAGCCAGCCCATCATGGTCCATGTATCTGAATATCCACCATTGGCCAGAGAGCAGAACTGACATGTGATGCCACCCAATGGCAATGCCCACCATGTATCAGCTCTGGATAGGCCAACAAACCTGCCAATGATATTAATGACCTCAGCTTGTAATGGCCTCTCCATCCTCCCAATATGGACCAATCCTGTGTACATGTTGGCCCAATATGCAGAGTCATGCCCAACTGATGCCAGGTCCTCATCTGATTCCAGCCCCTCATTGTGAGCTGATAGAGCTGATACTGACAATTCCTCCCATGAGCCTAGGCCTGATGAGCTTGATGTTCCAGATGCCATTGCTGGACCATGCCTGCCTAATCAGCCAGATTCGAGCCTAATATCACTCAATCTCAATGGAAACCTCATCAAATTTCATGGAATCCCATTGGGGTGGCATGCAAACCTGATGGAAAAGTGACTCAATCTCAATGGAAACCTCATCAAATTTCATGGAATCCCATTGGGGTGGCCATGCAAACCTGATGGAAAAGTGACTCAATCTCAATGGGAACCTCATCAAATTTCATGGAATCCCATTGGGGTGGCCATGCAAACCTGATGGAAAAGTGACTCAATCTCAATGGAAACCTCATCAAATTTCATGGAATCCCATTGGGGGGGCCATGCAAACTCAATTCCAGATCTCAAAAGGAAGCCCCAGCAATACTAAATCAAATGGAAACTCAATTCCAGATCTCAAAAGGAAGCCCCAGCAATACTAAATCAAATGGAAACTCAATTCCAGATCTCAAAAGGAAGCCCCAGCAATACTAAATCAAATGGAAACTCAATTCCAGATCTCAAAAGGAAGCCCCAGCAATACTAAATCAAATGGAAACTCAATTCCAGATCTCAAAAGGAAGCCCCAGCAATACTAAATCAAATGGAAACTCAATTCCAGATCTCGAAAGGAAGCCCCAGCAATACTAAATCAATTGAAACTCAATTCCAGATTATTTAGGGGTCATGGCAAAAAACCTTCCAAAATCTTGCCCCCCCAAAACCTTCCAACCTTCAAGGGGGGGGGGGGGGGTTACAGACTAATACGGGGTCAACATTACCAGGGAGCCGTTTCAGAAGATGGCGGTAGCTCCAAACCCCTCCTGCTTGTTGCGGATTGCTCCTCATCCCAGCTTCCCTATCCTCGCTGCTTCATTAATTTCCCCGAACACAAGCGCTTGCAGATCGGTTGCCCGAGCTGCGCGTCCTTCCGAAAGTTGATTCAGGAACTAATTGGCTTTTTGGTGTACCTTCTATCACCTGTTAACCCTCTCTTCCTTGTCTTTATTGTTGACTCGCTCTCTCATTCCTTCGTCACTTCAAGAGCTTACAAAACGCCAGCATTTGTCTCGCAGAGGCATGTTGCCCTTTGCTCCCCTACTTTAATTGGATCTCGCCCTCAAATTTTGAGCTTGGACTTGTGGCAGGGCCCTGTAGACTTGTGGGAGGGCATGCAACCTGGCCATGGGGCAGATTTGCACAGACTTTGAGAGCACGAATTACCCGGACATTCCCGCGGCATCCCCCCATTGAAAGTATGCTTGCCAGCCCTTTCTCCCGCATGGTGTGCGCTTTTTGCGTTTGAGCTGTGGCATTTGCAAGGTGCACCAAGGAGCAGTTGATTGGACCTTTTTCTCCAACAAAAACTAATCGGAAAAAATGGTTTGGGTCAGCATCTCCAAATCATAGAATATTTTGCCCTGTTGAATTGTTTTCAGGAAACTGATTCAACCCCAAAAACGTGTCCATTCTCTTTTCCACCGTCATCACTGAGCATTTGAGGGTCAAAGGCAAGCATCCCTAGCCGAGCATCATGTATGGTTGGCAGCTTGGGTGTTCAGGCTACTTAGTAAGGAGGGTCCGTTAGTAGAAGAAATTAGAGGGGGGCGAACCCCTACTGAGTCGGTTGAACATCCGAGTGGGCAGCTGGGGGACGTGGTTGACGCCCTAAGGCGTGAAATGGACTTCAGGCGGGTGGGCATTACTGCGCCTCGGCAAAAAAGCGAGCAGCATGACAAAGCGCGGCTCCCAAAAACCGTTTCATTTCCAACACCCGGACTCGTTGTCATCCCCTACCCACCGCACCAAACACCCGGCAAAAAAGTCCCCTATGCGAAAAACGGGGGGAGCCTCTTCCTCACTGCCCTGGACGTTTGAAGCTACTTGGGGTCGAGTGGTAGACAACAAGTCCGAACGTCAGGGCTGTTTCGCGCCTTTTCTCTCTCCACCTGGAGTCTCCATGACCCTTTTAAAATGGGGTCATGACCCCTTTCTTTTGGGTACTGACCCTATTTTTAAAAGGGAGATTCCCATTCAATCAAGTTTAAGGAAAGCCGAGCAAGGGCCTGATGACCAGAAGACGCGATCTCCAAAAGGGGTGCCTCTGGGAGTTGCACGTACTGGGATAACTCAGAAGAGCTTTGAAAGAACGAAAGCACAGCTCTGCATCATTTGCCCTGGAAAACGATTCTGGCTGTGAACGGCCAACAGTTCTACTGATTTCAGCGTGGTTCTATGTTTCACACTATTTTGTTCTTCTCCGGCATCCAGGGTTTCACCGCTTTGTTCCAGCAAGCATGGAAGTGCACGGGAGGATTTTGGAAGACTAACATACCCAGACGTTTCCGCGATCAGCTCCAAGGTGCAAGATGCGATCCATCGGCTGGTGCAGCATTGCGGTGAGCTCGGAGTCAGGAAGCGCCACCGAAGAAGACGCGCCAAGCAATGGCAATGTCGACCACCACATGAGTCACTTGCAAAGAGAAAAACACCTCGGTCCAATTTTTGTTTCTTGAAATCACGCCTGAGTGGTCATGTTTTTTTTGGAATCACATTTATTGAAATCACGCCTGGGGGGGTCCAGTTTTTTTTGTTTGAAATCGCGCCTGGGGGGTGCAGTTTTTTTTGTTTCGCGATGTAAAAAAAAGACACTAGAACCCCCAGGCGTGATTTCAATCGGAAAAAACAACCAGCCCGGAGGCGTTAATTTAAAAATATTAAAAAAAGCGTGGCTCAAAGCCCGGAGAATGGGACGGTGGTAAGGGACAATCCCAACGCTCTGGGTCACATGGCCGCCTTATATCCGCCGTGCTCGTTGCTTGGGAGACTTGTTGGAGTCAACCGCCCTCGAAAAATGTTCGCGGTGATTGGCGATGAGCAGCACTGGCCGTAACCGGGGCGTCACACACTTGGCTCAAAGGAAGTAGTGCTTCCCCAAAAAGCCACCTAGCAAAAGGGGCCCTTCCGTCCCAAAAAGGGGTCGGGACTCAAGGGGATTCCGAACAAAAGGGGCGGCTTCAAAGGCGAAGAGAACCTGAGCGACCTGCCGAGCCTGCGCCGAACCTTGAGGCGAAGTTTTCCGGACGCATTTGGCAGTCGGGCCGTGGCTTCGAGCTTTGCAGGGACAACACTAGGTGTTCAGTGTTGGTCAAGCTTTTCGCAACAGGTTGAGATTTTGTTTTCAGGTTCTTTTTGTAGTTCCTTGGAAGTTGCCGTCAGACATGGCCGGTTAGACTCGGTAGCGCATATGGTGCGTGAGCTTTGTCTTGGCAGGATTCTGCATGCCATGCTCGCCGTGGCTGGGCTCTCAGCATGGGTTGCACGTGAACAAGGGCCAAACGGGCGAATGAACCACACGGGGATCGACTACCATTTAGCAGGCGCAAGGATTGATTGCGAACCTGTGCGCTGCCTTCGCGCTTTTTTGTGGTTGCTTGTTTGTAGCCTTGGGCCGGTGCTGGGTGGTTTCGGGTGACGCATCCGGAGTGCATAAAAGGAATGCCGAGAGGGCGGCGTCCTGCTGAGTTTGTGAACTGATGGCTTAGTTGATCTGTCGTGTGCAGTTTTTCCTTGACTGATGCAGTTGCTTTCTTGACTGCCCCCATCTTGAAGCATTGAGGGGGGACTCCACACGTAGCTTTCGCGGGAAACCAAAGGCAGGGAAAAGCTCAACCGCCCGGGGTGTATTGCACTCACGGGGTTTGCGCGTGTTTCGTTTAAGTAGCCAACTGATGGTTTGACAGTCCTGTCACACTGTTAGCTTCCAATGTTTTGGCACCCCTCCAGGTAGGAGGCCGCAGATCTCATATCGCTTCAAGTGCTTTGGTGCTTGAATGTTTGGCCAAACTAGGAAGTAGTTAGCTACTTGGTGGTAGTCACAAATCACAGGGTCGCGTGTTAAGTGGTGATACCCTGAGTTACCAACAACTTAAGTAGGGAACCTGCTTTTCCACAAAGTCCATGCCCTAGGAGCGCAAGATCTCATTGTTTAAGGCCTTTGGGGGGTGAAAGGCCCTCATATTTACGGTCCAAGGGGCTTCTTGGGATGGTACAGAACAAACGGCAATGATTCTGAGGGGAACTGTCAGGAGATGAGAAGGGGAGTAGAGCGTCCTACTTAGATGGCCTTGGACTTGGCTTACTGGTACTGTAACCCTGGCTATAACCAATTGAGCAGGGACTTAAAACCATAAATATGGGTTATTACCAGCATGACTAAGCATTCAGTTTGCATCTGCCAAGGGGCCTTCTCAATTGGTTCCTTTACGCCTCTCCGATTGTGCCTGTGTTTTTCTTTTTCTGAGGCTCGGGGCGACTGGCAAAGAGAAGATTTGGACCTGGCCAAGATCCAGGATGGAGATCGTTGCGTCGTTGCCTTTTCCGATCTAGGAAATTGATAGACAACGGAGAGAAAAAGAACAACAAAGCGTTGCATCGAGGTGGTTTCTGATTTTGGGGCGAACCCCCCCCCCAAATGAGTGGTGTTCCTTTGGTTTCCTTCATGCCAACCCTAGAAAGGGCACCTGCATGAAAAGACACAGCCAGGCCACCCAAACGGCCATGATATTTATTTGGGAACAGCCTCAAGAACGGCTGGTAGATATCATGTTTTTCCTGTGAATGATGCTCACCACGCGTTTATTGCCAGGTGGGTAAAAGAAGCGTTTCTTTGGGATGGTGACCTGTTGGCACCAACGCCTTTTGTTGGGGGGTCATATTCTGAGACAAACCCAGGATAGTGCGGATGGAAGAAATCCTGCACCAGCTAGAACGGATCAACACCCCTTGAGTATTGGGACAAAGCACCCATCAACAAGTGCTGGATTTTGTGAAGCCACGGCAATTTCATTCAGACCAAATATGAAGCAGAGTCTGAACATGTTTGGTCCACTGGTGCACCCCAGGGTGGTCCCAGGAATACGGAAGGCCGCTCCCCAAGGGAAATGACAGCTCATACACCCTTTGTAACTAGTGGTCTGGGTAACAAGTCATCCAACCCTAGGATACCCTCGTTATTTGAGGCCTTTGGAGGTCAAAGGCCCTGGTATTTACAAAAAATAGGGTCTTGGGCACCTTGGGAAAGGAGACTGCCCCATTTCAGCCGTCTTGTCGCAAGCGCGCAGGAGGAGTTCGCTCGGGCGGGCGTCAGCAAGCTGTTGGTCAAGGCCGGGAACCTGAGGCAAAACTTTCATTTGCTTAAGAATATGTCTTATTGTCCCATGTTGGTTTTAAAGGGAATCTATATATATATATACTGTATCTTCCCCCCCCCCCCCCGGATTTTTTCAGGGGTCTTAACCAAATGGAAGAAAATCTGAAGAAAGCGTGGGTTCCCCGAACGTTGAAGGAGATGCCGGGCCAAAAAGTACCTGGAGTCTCCTTCTGACCTTTTCAAAATGGGTAATGACCAACCATTTCCAAAGGATCATGGAGAGTCTAGGTAGCTTTTTCCCAGCAGCTGAAAGCTAGCGGGTCTTCCGACTCTCGGGTTCAGGGAGTTGCTGTTGGGGATTTTGAGGGGGTCCATGTTAACTTGCCGGGGAGCTGATTTTAGGTGAATCGTTTGCTTAGTTGGCTGAGTTGTGTCACCCCCCAATTGTGAGCAACCCAGGCTGGGCGCTGAATAGCATGTGTATGTGTATATTGACATATTTATATGTATGTAGATATGTAGACATTATATGTGTATATAAATACATATATATATATATATATGTGTCATTTGGGGATAGAACATATGTTCGTGTTTTACCTGCAAAGACTTCTTTTTTGTTCGGGGAGCCTCTAAACTGACCCAAGTGGTTGTTTTGCCGGTTGGCCGTCCAATCGTGTCATTGGGCCAAACGGCAGGTCCTCAACGAGAACCCCGTGGACGACGCCTGGAGCCCCGAACCCCGTTGCCCGCTTCGCTAGGGCGCTCAAGCGAACAAGCGCGCCGTATCGCTTCGCGAGTCCTGGTAGTCTTCCATTTGCTGAAAGGAATATGTTTTATTTTCCCCTGTTTAGAGAGCATCTATCACTACTGGACATATGTTTTGTTCTTCCCAGGGGTCTTAGCCAAATGGAAGTAATTGCCCTCCCGTCGACCCTGGACCTCACCAGAGGGTCTTCCAGGACCGGGACCCCTCAGTCAGGGCTCCATGTTAGTGGACAGGAGTGGAATAAAACTCGGAGGCGTCCCGCCAATAGTGATAAAGCCCCACTAAAAGGGGACACCCCCTCCCCGACTCACCAACCAGGGGTTTATTCATTTGAGATTTACATTCTGCGGGTTTGTGTTTTGGTCTTGAGGGCACCCTTCTCAGGTTAGGTAGGGGACCGGGATACCAATAGGAAAGCCTTTTGTTTGGGGGTCCAGCTCATGCCTATGTGTTTAAACTGTTTCTCTCTTTGTGAAGATCTAAACTGTCTCGAGGGGCCGAGCTTTAGGCACTTGAGTGAATGCATCCTCACGGTTTTTCGATTTTTTTGTAAAACCCAAAGGAGCTTGAGCTCCTGTCGCACGTGTTGTGGGCTTCTTGTGTATCAACTTTACCGTTTTGCATTCGATCCCTTTCTGGGTCTCTCGTCAGGATTTCCCAGGTTCCCCAAATGCTAGAACGTGGTGTGTTTGTTTGTGTGTGTGTGTGTGTTCGTGTGAGCGTGCCCGTGCCAGTGCGCGCTCGCGTGCGTGCGTGCAGGCATAGGTGGGTGGGTGCACGTGGGTGCGGGTGCGAGTGCGGGTGCGGGTGTGTGTGTGTGTGTGTGTGTGCGTGTGTGTGTGTGTGTGTGTGTGTGTGTGCGTGCGTGCGTGTGGTGTGTGTGTGTGTGTGTGGGTGTGTGGGTGTGTGTCTGGTTGTGTGTGTGTGAATGTTTGTTTGTTTGTTTGTTTGTTTGTTTGTTTGTTTGCTTGCTTGCTTGCTTGCTTGCTTGCTTGTTTGTTTGTTTGTTTGTTTGTTTGTTTGTGTGTTTGTTTAATTATTGGTTTGCTTGCTTGCTTGCTTGCTCGCTTGCTTGTTTTCTTGCTTGCTTGCTTGCTTGCTTGCTTGCTTGCTTGCTTGTTTGGTTGTGTGTTGGTTTGGTTTGCTTGTTTGTGTGCTTGTTTGTTTGTCTTTGTTTGTCTTTGCTTGTTTGTCTGTTTGTTTGTTTGTTTGTTCGTTTGTTTGTTTGTTTGTTTGTTTGTTTGTTGGTTGATTGTGTGTTTGCTGTGGGTTGTTTTGGTTTGCTTGTTTGTTTGTAGTTGTTTGTTTGTTTGCGGGTTTTTGTGGTTTGCTTGTTTGTGACGTTTTAGTGTGTGAGTGGTTGTTTGTTTGTTTGTTTGTTTGTTTGTTTGTTTGTTTGTTTGTTTGTTTGTTTGTTTGCTCGCTTGCTGGATCGGTTGTTTGTTTAGTTGTTTGTTTATTTGTTTGTTTGTTTGTTTGTTTGTTCTGTGTTGCTTTGTTGGTGCTTGCTTGTTTGGTTGATAGTCAGTTTGTTTTCGTTCTTGTTTGCATGTCTGCCGGAAATGAGCGCGGGAACATGGGCTGGCCTAAATGCCAGACCCAGATAGAGGAAACACAGCCTCAGCTACCTTGAATGTAACCTGTGGAGGTGCATTTCCCTCCGCAAATGGAGTCGACCAAGCAAACCTGGCCCAAATTCCAGACCCAGATAGAGTTGATAGCCTGCAAATGGAGTCGACCAAGCAAAGGTGGCTGAAGTCTTTTGCAGTTGTGGCCACTCAGGTGAGCCACAATCAAAACCTGGCTAGATGAAGGCTAGTAAGGGACCATGCCAGCCACAAATAGCTGCGGATATCCTTCGGGGTGGGATTACGACCATTTTAACTACCATTTTAATACCAGGCTCTTGGCTCTGGGCTTAGGACCATTTTTGACTACCCGGGTTTTGAGCCACTGACTCAGGTGGCACAAGCTGCCTGGAACTTACTGGGCGCCGGGCCCCCAGAAAGCCGCCCCGCTGCTCCGGGGTAGACTTAGACTTCTGGTTGTTCTGGGTGTTTCTGGGGTTGACCATTTTTCTGGGTTTTACATTTTAGTGGCGCAAAGTGGAGCGAACAAGAAAATATGCAGTCTATCACTGGGCCCAGCTTGAATCATGTCTTGACCCGCGTATTTGTTTGTTTGTGCTTGTGGGGGAGGGCGGCCCTCTACATTTCCCCACCGCCAACAGTTGCTTAGTGCATTCCATGCCCGTCAAGATCTTTGTGCTTTTGGTTTTGGGGTGGGTTCCCCACCATTAGTCGACCCAACAAAGATGCTTTAGACTTTTGGTAGGCCGGGGCAAAAGTTTTGCACCACATGGTTGTCGTTGGGAAACATGTTACATGTTTGCTTCTTGTGGTTTAGTGGTTGAAATCCAACCACCTAACTTCTGAAACTTGAGAATTGTTGCTCCCCAAACCCCAACGTCAACCAAGTTATGCAAAGGCCCGAAGACTTGAAGAACGTCCTGTGAGATCACACGTTGGTTCGTAGGTTCATGCTTGGGCCCAGCCAGCGGCGGAAGCACCCCATCCAAATACATCCGGAAATTGAGACGGGGCATATTCTCAAGCAATGCAAATATTTGGACATGAATTTCTGTATAAAGTAGGGTTACTTTCTGAAACAACTTGGTGGTTGTCAGTTGAGGCAAAGAGGCCCTGCCCGTGTCTTCTGTGGGTTTGCCCTAGTGATTTTGTTGATTTTTGTCAAAAGTCTTGTTTTCCATATTTCGGCTTCCTTGATAAATTTATTTGGGCTAAACATTCCATTTTGGGCCACAGTCAAAATAGCAATGTGCCTGCCCATGTCTGCCGCCTGCAAGCCAAGATGCAAATGTTGCAAGACTTTGGTCCACAGCTCCAGAGTTTGCGCCGTTTGCGCTGTTCATTTCTTCATGGTGCTTGGCCGGAAGTCGGAGCCAGTTTGGGAAGCTGTTGTTTGGTATAAGGGTTTGCTTGTCCAAGGCGAATCATCCTTTTCACCTCAACGTTCTCAAAGTGTCTTGTTGCCCTTCGCTCCCAACTAGCACAAGCCAACTTGTTTGGGTACTTCCTTTTTTTTCAGGGTGCACGTTTGGGGCCGTTTTTTCAAGGGAAGGCCACCTACTGTGAGGATTCCCGAATCTTGAGATACGCCCATTTCGGGGGAGGCCCAATGGTTGGAGTTTTTGGGGGCCGCCCATGTTCCTTGGGCAGTGGTTTGAACAGAAGGTTCTGGACCCCCTAGCTTTTTCGTTTTTGCACGGAAAGCCGGCACGTTTTTGTTTTTACCTTCGATCAGTTGAATGCAAACAGCTTCCCGCGCCGTTAAACTGCGGGACGGCGGTTTTTGGAAGATCGTTTCGGGGAGGCAAACAATTCAGCTGCCCCACAAGCTCCCCACAAGCTCCGCACGGAGCCCCCAAAAGATATTCTTAGGGAACGAGCAAAGCTCATCCCTCCAATGATCCCATGTGTGGGAAGACGACTTTCTGTTGGGGACCCCCCCCCCACCGCCAAGACTCATGTCCCTCCTCCTCATCCTACCGGAAGTCCCTCCTCCTGCGGTCCCTTGCTGTGTTCCTGGCAGGAGCTTCTGAAGGGCACGGGCGTGGACGGTGAGCCGAAGCTCAACAAGGATTGGACTCCTGCCCATCTCCTTTGGGAGGATCCCTTGCTCTTGGGGGCTCTAGGCCCCTCCCGAAAAATATGATGTTTCTAAAGACGACCTTCAGTCAAACTCCATACACTTTCCATTTGTCTAAGACGACGTGTTACTTTTTTTCTGGAAGTATGCTCACTTACACGGAGGGCTCTTAAGCGCTTCAGGTCGGAGACTCTCCGGGGATTGGTGTCCTCCCTTTCTTTGGCCCCATGTTACTTGTAGGGTGTGTGTGCTTGGTGACCAGCGGACGTTGCTATGGCTGCGGCACAGGCAGATGGTCTGGGGCTGAGTGGTTAGTAACCCGGACTTGCAACCATGGCTTTGGTGAGTTACACTCAGGGCTTCTGACTCCGAACCATTTCATGATGCGCCCTGGACCATCCAAGTACGGCGGATGCACAAAATCTACTTTGCATAAGTTTGTAATGCAAGGAGCTGAATGGTTATAGTAGCTTACTCCAAAAGTCCTGACTGCACAAGGCTTGAAGGCACTTCGCAGCCTTCTTTTGCTTTGGTGCATTTTGCTTGGCTGTTCGGACCTTCAACTTTTTGCCCACTCATGGGGTTTTCCGTAGTAAACCAAACTAAAAGCTAGTCAAACTTTGAGCAGGGCTCCGCAGATGTCGCCACCGAGTTTGCATCTGTGGGCCCTTGTCGGTTGCTACGCACGACAGGCCTTCGGGCCCCAAGAGGTTGCGTTTGAATCCTCCCGAATGGACACCCCGGAGGAAGTTGATCGGAGGGCGCGTCGTTTTTAAAGGGGCAAACTCCGGGCAAACCATGGCTTGGTTCCTCCGTTTTGGGTTTTGTTTTTTGTTCGCCATGCGGGGCTGCGCCAAGAAAAAAAAGGAAGGTCCAGATGCTTGTGGGAGTTTCTCCTTTCAAGGTGTCCATGGAAAAGCCACTCCCAGCCTCAAGCCTGGATCCCTTCAGGCGGTGCAGCTGGCCTTGCACAAAGCGATGAGCTCAAGCAACGACGACACGGGAATGTGGGACTCCTTCCATCAGGCGCAGAGAGATCTATCCCGCTTTCACTTGCAGTATGTTTTTTTTTCTCCCTTTCAACAGCCTGAGGCTTAGAATTAGGGTTAGGGTTGGGGGGAAAAGACCTGACCTTAGAAGGCCCTTGGACCTTATTATTTGAGGCCGGAAAAGGGGATCAAAGGCCCTCATAGTTAGGGTCCAATGGGATGCTATGTATTTGCCTAAGAATACGTGTTATTTCCCCTTGTACGGGGAATCTATGTTTTTCGCCACCGCCGGATTACTTGCATCACCGGCTTCGACTCCTTCCGGCATAAGTCA